TGCTTTTTTGTCAGGTGGTGGAGAAACTGATCCGCGGTCTGGCCATGGAGGACAGCAGGAATATGTTTGCCCTGTTTGAACACAACGACACCACAGAGAAAGCCATCGAGAGCCGCACCGTGGTGGCTGACGTGCTCGCCAAGTTTGAAAAGTAAGCCTCACCATGTTTGATTCTGAAGCAAATGTTTTTGTCTTCTGGCCAATGCTAACACGATCACTCTGTGGTCTGCAGGCTTTCAGCAAGCCCAGATGAAGGCAGCACCGGATGGAAGTTTTACTTCAAACTCTACTGCTTCTTAGATACGGACAACGTTCCCAAAGACAGCGTGGAGTTCGCTTTTATGTTCGAGCAGGTCAGACTCGTGGCTCATTGTCTGGGGATGGGTCTAGGAGACTTTTTTAGCTGATTCTGACTGAACTTTTTGTGGAAATTAAAAAAGAAAAAATGCTTAGATGTTATAGTTTTAACTATAATTTTCTCTGTTCCCTCAAAGGCCCATGAAGCCGTGATTCGTGGTCAATATCCGGCCCCTGAGGAGACTCTTCAGTTTCTGGCTGCTCTGAGACTTCAGTACCTTCTGGGTGATCACAACTTCCAGTCCACCATCCCTGAAATGTCCCAGGTTTTCCCCATGTCTCGACTGCGGGCCCGGGTGCAGAACTCGGCCAAGACGTTCGCTCCGGGGACCGGCTCGGTGGCCGACCGCTCAGGCACGGCGGAGAGGAAACGCTCGAGTTTCCTGGAGGGGACACTGAGGCGGAGTTTCAGGAGCAGCTCGCTGAGTCGGCAGAAGCTTGAAGAGGAGAACAGCCTGGAGGCCTGGATGAGGGAGGAGGCGGCGGCCGTGAGAACCAGCGTGATGGACAAGTGGAAGAAGCTGCAGGGGATGAACCAGGAACAGGCAATGGTCAAATACATGGCGCTGGTGAAGGAGTGGCAGGGATACGGATCCACTTTGTTCAACGTCGAGGTGAGAAGAGAAATCACTTTTCTGTTTAAGCAAAAACTTTGTTCTCCATGATAAAGGATGGTTATGTTCCCATAAAGACAGCTGCACAGCCGTAGGTGGGAAACGTGGGATCGTTTGGTTGGTTTAAAGTCATCTGTTGCCAGTTCTAAACAAAATAGATCTTAGAGGGAATGATGGGAGATTGTGATGTTCCATGCTTGCTGTTTCAGTGTCGGGATGGCATGTTCCCCTCCGAGCTCTGGTTGGGTGTGAGCCGGGAGGCCATATCAGTGTACAAGCGAGGGGAGCCGTGGCCTCTGGAGGTGTTCCCGTATGAACAGATACTCTCTTTCGGAGCGCCGTTATCCAACACCTACAAAATCACCGTGGAAGGCCGAGAGCTGGTGTTTGAAACCCAAATGGTGTGTACATCCTCACTCAGTCATAACCATAATTTCAATGCAGGTCATTGCACAACACCGACATTTACTCCTCCTGCTCTCCTCTGCAGGTGATGGACATCGCCAAGCTGATGAAGGCCTACATCAGCATGATCGTCAAGAAGCGCTACAGCAACTGTCAGTCCGTCAGCAGCCACGGCAGCCACTGTAGCACCTGGTGAACTCCGCCCTTTCACCCTCTGCCTCGCAGCCACGTGCAGGAGTGCAGCCAGGGCCGGTGCCGGCCATGCATGGACGCCCATCCTCTGCACTCTGGAGAGAGCAGCTCGTACATTTCATGTCAGACTGACTCTGAATGCTGGAGAAAAAAAAGTCAATATGCTCTTAATGTAAACTAGCTCAACTTATCTTGACCTGGTTTCTTTTAGAAACAGTACACATCCACTCCTTATTCATCACGATCAAATGTAGGCACAGAAAGTTCTCCATAAAACTCAAGAAAACAGAAAGAAGTCCAAAAGTTGACTGAGAAAGCAACATGAGAATGCTTCTCGTTATCTAAATCAACAGATATTTGATAACGAGCAGGGACCAGACTTTAAAAGACTCAGACTGCGGGCAGCTTCTAATTGGTTTCCCTCAAAGCCTGCTAGCTGTTAGTGTTATTTTATTTTTTATTTAAGATCCTTTAGGGCTTAAGATCAATTGCTCTTATAAATTCCACGAGTTAATTACTATTTTTCAGAAAGTGATAAAATGCTTGAAGGACTATCATTCTTGTCACATTCCACCTCTGTTCAGCCAACATAATATGAAGTTTTTGTTTTAAAGCTGGAAGTTGTGTACAATCTTCACTTTCTTAAATAAGCTAACAAATGCACATTTTTGCCCCACATTAAAGTAAAGGCTCCTTCTAGTTAAGTTTCCTAAACTGACTAGAGAAAATAGAACAAAGGATCAGTTTAATCTGCTAATCCCAAGGCGTACAAAGTGTACCATGACAGACGTTCACCCCCAGACTCTGATTACAAACCACAGTCTCTTAGACCAAAGAAAACTAGGTGGTGGTTAAACGCAATCATATTTTTATATTAGTCTTCATGAAGTCAGATGCAGCTTCTAAAAGGTGGATGTGTCTTGTTTTGAAAAGAAACAGTTAATTTTCTGTCGGATGGTGAACCTCTGAGGC